TCTCTCTCTCCGTCTCTCTCTGTCTGTCTCTCTCCATCTCTCTCTCTCTCTCTCTCTCCTTGTCCGTCCATCAGCATCTCTCTCACTCTCAACCTGCGCAAACAAACCCTGTTTCGATGGATCTTGTATGGCCTTGGAGTGCTTTGCTACGTTACCCGCTGTTGCGCATCAGGATTGGCGACGCGGTGATCGAGATCTCGAACGCTCACGACCTGCAGCAAACAGTTCACTGACAAGTAGGGTTGGTTTAGCATTTGGGAGGTTCCGAACATTAGGGTACCTTATTTGGGGGTCCTTATCATAAGGATCCTATTATTTAGGGTACCATATTAGGGTCCCCTATTTTCGGAAACCCCCATTTGCGCAAGACTCTAAACCAGATTCATACCTACGGCTGCTGCCACGACTAGTGCTGCCCTAGTCCTGCTCCTGCTCCTACTCCTTCTGCTCCTCTATGATTACTAGGACCACGATGCCGACTGCCGGTACGACTGCAACGACAACCAAAACCGCTAGCACTGTACAACCCGGCCGCTGCTGCTAAGGCCCACCGTCAGTCCGACAGCAAACAGTTCACGGCCACCGTCAGGGTCATCTCCGTCAAGTCTGTACTAGCTGCCTGCACTCTACTTTCGATCCCCATTGCCAATCTAGATACAAACCTGGGATCCACAGCCGGAGCCTGTCGCCGACGTCGCATTTCGCAAGGCGCACCTCGGCTGCTGTTGGCTTCTGCTAGGCCTTGATTAGGGGCGTGAGCTTCAAGTTTGTAGATTTTCAGAAGCCCCGGAAGCTCGAAACCCGAAAACCTGGACCCCACTGTACTGCAAATCTTAGAGGATGACTGCATCAGCCAATGAACACGGGAAGGGATTGCGGGGCGGCCCCTTTAGGGGGATGGATTTAAAGTTAATCCAAGTTTGCAGGTGGTCGTACACAACACTGTGCCACAGAGATGGCCTGCACGAGTTTGAGGAAGAAGGACGCCAGCGATCCAATAGTTAGTGTAAGTAAGTCTATGCCCATGCCTGCGTGTGTGTGCCGCGATAGCTTGTGTACATGTGCATGCTTGCACCTCTTTAGTTGTGTAGTTGCACATGCACGCGAAAAGTTAAGAATCGTGCTTGTGAACCGGGACCCAGACTACGCAACGACATGCTAGCAGATGCATCCGTTCGAGCTCTGATCTACGCACACCCCCACATCCAAAGGAACATCGACTGTGGCTCGACGTAATGCATAAAAAGACGTCGGCGGCTAGGCTCCATATCAGCATCCATGTTAATCTCGGCTTCACAGGAGACCGTATGTTTGCTAGTCTTGCTGGGAGATCATAGACTCACGATGTACTGACCCCTAGCCAAGGAACGAAATAAATCCTGCATTACCTCAAAGACCCTAAACTATGGGAATTATGTTGCACTCCTTGCTATGGGTAATGCAGGTTTTATATTATCAACCGTAGGAACGAAGCCAAGGCACATCGCCCGGAGCAGCGGCCATCGTGTGCGGCCCTTGTCCTTAAAGTCCGGATGGTTGCGGCTCAGCCAACACCTCGGCACTCCGGGGGTAGGGCTTATAGCATGCTGAGGGCTAGCAGTAGGGAGTTTTGTTTTCAATCCTGTTGTACATGGTCTGATTTTAGGGTTTCTTTAAGAATTCTATGGATCTAAATCGCGTCGTAGATGGTCTAATTTGAGGGTTGCTACAAAAATTCTATACTATAACGGGGCCAGGGCTTGCGAATGAAGGTTGTTCCAGCTGTTCGGTGTCTCTATACATCAGGTTTAGGTTTTAGGGTTTAGGGTACCGACGCGGCGTTCTTGTGAAGGACTCTGCATAAGGAAAGCACTTACTTGCAGCACAAGGATGAACCTGAATGCCACTTTCACTGGTCTGCTGGCAAGGCAAATGGCAAAAACTGAGCAATATCATAACGAAAGGTTGCAAAGACTATCAGGGTGTGTGTGTGTGTGTGTGTGTTATTCCCTAAACCCTAAACCCTAAACCCTAAACCCTAAACCGTATTGCTAAGGCTTCAGACCCCTCTAAATTAAAGCAGTGTTCCCCGAAGCCTTACCTGGTAATTGCCCGGAAGAGTCCCCAGACCTTAGCCTTAAACCTCATAAAGCAACGTTTTAGGGTTTAGGGTTTAGGGTTTAGGGTTTAGTGTAGGGTTTTGCATTACATGTGCTTTAAGATTTAGGCTTTGATTTCTGGATTTGGGGCTGACAGTCATGAAACCCTGCACGCCACTTAACCCGAAGCCCAAAGGTCGGCAGGGCTACCCTAAACCCTAAACCCCTAAACCCCTAAACCCCTAAACCCTAAACCCTGAACCTCTAAACTCCTAAACCCTAGACGCCCGAGGCCCCCGGCATCTTGTGAACGCCGAAGGCATTGGGCTTCTCGGGTGAAAGAAGTTCCTAGGCAACGAACATGGTGGGTTGCAGGGTAGAGAGACTTTGGTAGGTGTAAGTAAGCCATAGAGAGAGATGGCCTGAGTCAGCATTCATATAACCCGCGACGCAGCGTTCCGCACTTCACAAGCAGTTCTGCGGATTTTCCCCACCCGCCCGGCGACATAGGTTGGGTCTTAGGGTTCTTGCGACGCTCCAACACTTTCAAGGGGCTTGGATGTAACGGTCCAGGGTGAAGAGTCTCTTCGGGTCTTGGCCGGGTCTAGACTTTTTCCTTTTTCTTACGGCTTAGGGTTTAGGGTTTAAGGTCTAGACTTTAGATTTTGAGGTTGGGGAGATGAGTTGTTCAGGTCAATATTGAGGTCATTAACCTGGTTGAAACTCTGTGAACTATTTTGGTACACACACTCCCGCCCATCAAAGAAGACGAACACACACAAACCAAAGCAATGTACCCCTAAATACTTGATGATATGCGCGTTCTACACTACATCACTACAGCAAGATCGAAGAACACAGTAGCCCACATGAGCCGCTGTGCCCTCGGTTCGACGTCTGTTGTCCTATGCTACAGACGGACGCCAAGTAAACTCTGAGTCGAAAGCTTGGATTAGGGTCTTCGCTTTTGGCCTTCGGGTTTCAAGCTCGCAAGCATGACGAGCCAATAAGAACTCTGACTGAAGTAACATCCGAAGAATTGAGCTGGTCCATATCATATGATGCAGGTAAATTTACGGCCACCCAAAAGGCCTGAAGACGGGAGGCCACCCCTTCAGCCCCATCCCTAACCCTAAACCCTAAACCCCCTGAACGCAAAACCCCTAAATCCCTAAACCCCTAAACCCCTAACCTCTAAACTCCTAAACCCTAAACCCTGAACCTCTAAACTCCTAAACCCCAAAACCCTGAACCTCTAAACTCCTAAACCCAAAACCCCAAAACCCCTAAACTCCTAAACCCCAAAACCCCCTCTTCAGCCCCCATCTTTCTATCATCTCCGATTCAAAGCGCCAGCTCCACACCGCTGCAGTCCAGGGGGAAGACCTGGGCCCCAGTTGATCGGCCATGCCGGCCGCCGTAGGGTTTAGGGTTTAGGGTTTAGGGTTTAGGGTTTAGGGTTTAGGGTTTAGGGTTTAGGGTTTAGGGTTTAGGGTTTGGGGTTTGGGGTTTGGGGTTAGAGGCAAAGGTTATAGAATTTAGGATTTAGGGTTCAGGGGTGTACTTTTGTTCTTGTCGCCTCTTTTCCACCCGCCTGGTTAAGCTAGGTCGAACGCCACTGTTGGCTGAGGCATGTTCTGCGTAATATAGGGTTTAGGGTTTAGGGTCTAGGGCCTCAATAACCGCGGGCAGGGCTTCACTGAACAATTAATTGCAATAATGGTCGTACGCTATAGGCCCCTGTACACTTATGTGTTTTGAACATTCCTGCAACTATCCCTGGGTCCCTGGAAAAGTGTCGCAGAGAGAAGTTTACTTTACTTGGCCACTGCTGCCGGGCAGTGGTATGCCGGAAAGCCCTGTGAGCCTCCTGCCGCCCACAAACAGTTTCGAAACGTGCCATAGCCTGGCACCCCCGGCAAAGGCAAGAAGACGGCGAATAACTCCGAGACACAATCATGCTTTACCGAGATGCCATATATAGAAAACAACTTTGCGGCTATGACTTATGCACTCAACCCACGAAGCCTTAGGCCCTCTAGTGACTTCTAGTGAACCTCTAGTGAACCCATCTAGCAAAGCAAGCTTCCCAGCAGTTTCCAGAGAGACTCCGAAAGCCCAGCTCTCTGCGGACCATCTCCCCATCTGAACGCCCGTCGGAACAGCAAATCTGAATGCAGCAGGGGTCTTCCTCCAAGTCCCGGCGCTCTACTCTCTACTGCTAGGTTCCGCAGCAAGCACCCAAATTAAAGGCTTCCCTTTCTGCTCTTCATCAGTCTTACGAAATGAGGAGGCCAAAACATCCCGAAAGTGCAGGGGGTTCCGACGCCGTCAATGTCAAACCTAAACCTCGTACTAAGAATGTTCCTTGTAAGACTCCTTATTGTAACTTACTAAATTACTATAGATTACCCCGAGAAGCCCCGTTCCAATAATTACGTAACGTCCCTCCTTTTATTCAAATTTACACCGAAACTAGCGCCGACAGGGGTCCGCCACAGACTGCGGCTTAGATCCAGTGGTTTTCAGGGCCACGATCTCCGGTGGTTGCCTGAAAAGCGAGCAGTCTTTCAGAGATTTCTTGGCAGACGGTTTGGGTTTATAGGATTAACGGTCAGAGGATAGGGCTTTACATTTACGGGATGGTGGCTGCTGAGCCCGCACAAGTAATAGAGAGGGACAGAGAGAAAGAGAGAGAGAGGGAGAGGAGACCAGTAGAAAAAAGAGACGAAGAGACAAAGAGATAAAGCAAAACAAAGACAAAGAGCGACAGAAAGACATCGAACACGGGAGACCGTTCAAGCTACAGCAACCTATGCATTTTAAAGTCTTCTCCGTGATGCCAACACGCTTCCGTCAAAGTCCAAGGCTGAAGCCCCAATACACCGACACCCGTATTCCCCCACAGAAGCGCTGTTGTCAGGATCTTCATGACTAGACGTAAAACGAACTCCCTGTAAAACCCAAATAGAACTTTCCACCGCTCTGATTGCTCAGACCCCGATTACGGATCAAGCGGGTTATGGGCTCTCTGGGTCGGGCCTGTTTTTGATAGTAATCGGAATGACCAAGATGTTTTGGTGCAAGTTATGCTTCTACCCCTGTATGCTCCGGGCACCTATGGTTTGCATAGGAATGATCGTTCTAGATCTTAGGGGCTGAGCATCCTAGCGAAAGGCTGTGCTAGGAGTCTGTTTATAGTAGAAATAGGTCTAAGGCAACCTACCCAGCCCCTATGCTAAAGTTTAAACAGAAGGGGTCTTATGTGAAGATGTCGCCTGCAGTTCTTCCAGCCCTGAACCGCCTCAACCCTTTCGGTCAGTCGCACGGCCCCTTTTGGCCTGCCCAAATGAGACTTTCCAAAAATAGGGGGTACGTACCTTAGTTTGGGGTCCTTATAATAAGGATCCTATTATTATTTAGGGTGCTATATTAGGGTCCCCCATTTTCGGAAACCCCCAAATTAAATGCTGAAGCTACCCGCCCTGACAAGCCCTGCTTCGGCGAGGTGGCTATCGGGACAGTATGTGTAAAATATGGTAGGAATTAATTTGTAAGGGTTTTCGGCGTTTTAGTGTTTTTGGGTTTATAAGGTTTTTAAGGTTGTTAGGGGTTTTAGGGTTTTTAGGGTTTTAGGGAATTTTAGGACTGCATAAACAAAACGGCTAACGGTTTCCTACCCAGCCCCTAGCAGAGTTGTAAACTCCTACGAGGCTCAAGCCCAGGTGCTTGCCATCACCGAATTGCATCTCGACGCCCTTCTTAAGCCTCGGCTGGAGGGTTCTACCAATCAGCACCCAGGGTTTAGGGTTCAGGGTTTAGGGGTTGAGGGGTTTAGGGGTGTAGGGGTGTAGGGGTTTAGGGTTTAGGATTTAAGGGGTTAATTAAGGGTTTGGGGTCTAGGGTTTAGGGTTTAGGGTACCTCCACAACTTTTGAGAAATTTCTTCACCCGCCCATAGCTGACGAGGTTGTGCTGCAGGGAACACACAAGTTTGTTGAGTGGCAAGTCAACATTACAGGATCGTCAAGGGAGGGTGGCTCAAGGGGGGAGGGTCCTAGGGAGCTTTAGGGAACCTTAGGGAGTACTAGGGAGAATTGGGGATTACTGGTTATATACCCCCCTTAGAACCCCCTCCCTTCAGGATTCCATACCAACAGGGGTGTGTCGTGCTTCAGTCTTTGCAACGACCACTAACATCTGACACTCGATATGGGCAACGGCAACGGTTCGAAACCAGCAACCCAAACCCTCAAACCCAAACGCTTAAACCCGAGACCCGTAAGCCCTGAACCCGTAAAACATGAACCTTTTCCATAACCCACCAAAACCTACTTTTCCGTAGCGTCCCCACAAAGTGTGTATTGGGCAGAAAGATTGGTTGTGGTAGCCTAGCCTAAAGCACCTTGACTCCAGCCATCTCCACTTACAAATAACCCCAAACCCCAATCTCTAGATAACCTAACCCCTAAACCCTGAACCCTCATGCCTGGAACTTGAATCCTAACTGCCTCGACCCCTAAACCCAAAATGCCAGCGATCCAGGCAACAGAGCGATGGAGTCTTCGGAAAGGAAACCTCGCGCTTCCTCGTCAAGTGTTCTGACAGTAATAATTATGGCAATAACAGATACCATACAAAAAAAACACATGAATATCAAGAATAATAACTAGATTGTAATAATCACAACTTTAATAGTAAAGACAAAAATAAAAGTAACAATGCTTTCGTTCGGTCTTATAGTATAGGTGTTCCACTGTGATGTGTCTTGAAAGGGTGTAAAGTCTGCTTCTGCGGTCTGCAACTTCCAAAACTGGATTTCTGTAGGGAGCTGCTCGTGGTTACATGGGTTCGCAAGACTAACCCCCCTGTCACCACTTGAAAAAGGGAAGATGCTTTACGCCATGGCGTACTGTTGAGTATGGCATGGCTACGTTTCGTTCGGGCTTTGGGTATGGGCCTTCGAAAGTGGACTAGGGTTTCGAGCGATATTGTAGTGTGCTTATACGGGGACAATACAGGCGGATGATTAACTTATTCTAATTACCCTAAACCCTAAACCCTAAAGCCCGACACCCTAAGTAATTACAGAAGGTTCCGACCTCTAAGTGACATCCTGTCTTCTTTCCGTGGGTGATTGTCTCTGTCCACCTAGGAAGGGGCCGCGAGATGTCTGTGCGGACTTCAGAGGCGTGTCTTCATGTTCGTGACGCTAAATCTTGAACTTGAAAGTCAGGGAAGAGAATACCCTAAATCCGTTTTGCTGCAGGCTTGCAAGCAAGAACGCCTAAATCCTAAACCATCAACCCTCATATGTACATTCTAGCACTCAATGAATGCGGACTTCTGCTGAACCCTCGCATTTTCAGCTGAAGGTAGCCATACTTTGGGGCTCGTGCGGGATGTGGGGGGTCATTGAGCGCCGTGCTAATTGAAATCATTGCTTCTTGGCTGGGTTTGAACCCGGGCCTCGGGAGGTTTCAGCTTTAGATTTTGGTTTAGGGTTTAGGGTTTAGGGTTTAGGGTTTAGGGTTTAGGGTTTAGGGTTTAGGGTCTAGGGTCTGGGGTTTGGGGTCTGGGGTTTCAACCCGGATTCAGCCTGCGCTGCGCAGTTCCTACAAAAGCCCAAAAACACGACGTAAAGACAGAGAGACCTTCTGACCTCAGTCTCAAGTACAGTCCTTTGCACATCGATTATAGGATACTCGTGTCCGTGGTCATTTGAGGCCTTTATGCAAATCCTGCACCCCAAGTCGCACCTCATCGAGTTCGCGCAGGGCACATGCCAGTATGCCCTCACCGGGTTCAACTTTTCCACCGAGGTCCTCGTTGAGGGCTGTGGGTGGAATCAGGGTTTGGGGTTTTGCGAGGGATCTAATTAGCGTTGCTGGCTGTTTCACTGGATTAATCAAACACAACCATAGAACGGCTCCGGGTGTCTAGAGGAACTTCTACCCTTCCGCAGTACTTCCCAGCATCAACATGCTTATGCCTGGAAGCCGCTTTTCACGGCATTGTATGCCTGCTTTGGGCCTGGCAGGACCAACCACCCGAGCTCTAAACCCCATGTGGAGGTTTCCGAAAATAGGACCCACATAGACTACTCGAAATAGTAGGACCCCCATCATAAGGACCCCGAAATAAGGTGCTCCTAATTTTCAGAAACTCCCATTTGCTCTGAACACTCCCACACTTCACCGGCCCCAAAAATCTGGCCCAGAATGTCTCCAAGCACACCCCAGTGCGCCCATCGGCGTCATAACAGAACAACCGGCGAATTAGGGAAACCCTCCCCGGCCCCTAAAGCCTTTCTGCTGTAAGTCCCCATGAACGTGCTTCTGCAATACTTCTTGCAACTAGGGGAGTTCTGTACGAAGAAACAGCAAACTGCATATCCCTCAACCCACACCCTAAGATATGGGAGTTTCCGCAAATAGGGGACCCTAATATAGTACCCTAAATAGTAGGACCCTTCTTATAAGGATCCCAAAATAAGGTACCCCAATTTTTGGAAACTCCCATATTCGGACAGGTGAGGGTCAAGACACCAAGGTGCAGAGTCGAGGTGGCTCAGGGCGCGAGAGGTTTGTGGGGCGAATTGGCTTAGGATTTCTGTCATGTTCAGGGTTTAGGGTTTAGGGGTTTACGGTTTAGGGTTTAGGGTTCAGGGTTTAGGGTTTAAGGGTTTAAGGTTTAGGGGTTTATGGCTTAGGGTTTAGGGGTTTAAGGGTTTAGGGTTTAGGGTTTAGGGCGTAGCAGGTAAGTATAGCATCCAAGCCGTCGAAGGGCAAGCACGCACCGATTGTCACATCACATCAAGAGACTGGAGTTGGAACGGGGGCTTATATGAAGAGGTACTAGAAGCAGTACTTTAAGCTCAGCTACTATATCTGTTAATCCCTTACCAGCTACTATGGAGAGAAGACAATATGGGAGTTTCCGAAAATTAGGGGTACCTTATTTTGGGGTCCTTACAATAAGGATCCTGTTATTATTTGGGGTACTATATTAGGGTCCCCTATTTTCGGAACCCCCCATATATCACATCCCGAAATCAAAGCCGGGCTCCCCCACACTCCACATCAGCGACTGATCCTTCATCTCTTGGATGACTAAGACATCCGAGCCGCCTTGGCTTTTCCAGGGGTTAGGGTTTAGGGTTTAGGGTTTTCTTGCTTGATGCAGGATCTATGCAAGGGGTCTATCGGTCGTGGACAGAGCTCTACGTAGGGTCTTATGGGTTTTAGACGTCATAGGTGGGGGGTCTAAGCATGTAATTGTGTAGAGGACTATATCGCCTTTGACTGAACAGTGACTATCCATGTATAGCGCTGCCAGCTGCCCTGTAAAATAATAGACCCTAAACCCTAAACCGTGAGAAGCCTCATGGTTGCAGGGTTTTGGATTTGGGAGGGAGTTAGAATGTTAGGTTCACGGCTTCGAGTATTACTTGGTTTGGGAATTTTGTGCGGTAGGATTTTCAGGGTTTGGGATTAAAGCCTTTTTTAGGGATTCAGGGCGCAGTTAAGGCTTGGGGTCTTTGGTCATGTGGTCTAGGCTGGAGGATATGTATTGGGTTGTTGAGGCTTCTCGGATTCCAGGGTTTCGGGCTTAGGCGGTTTAGGCTTTAGGGTTTAGGTTCCCCAAACCCTTTTTTGAACGAGGTCTCTCTGAAGTGCCTCCAAGCTGCCCGCCACATCAGCGACCCTAAACCCTACTAAACCCTAAACCATTTTAGGGCCAAGGATTCCGAGGGCTCTTGAGTTTTGGAGTTGGTGCGCGGCTTGCAGTTCCGAGGGTGTCGGGTGAAAGCTTTGCGGATGAGGGCCCAGGATCCATCCCTAATGGAGCCCTAGATACTTGCACTCTTATGGCCCCACAAAAGCGAACATAGGAGCTTCAATTATTAGACTAGGGCTCTGGAGTATCTTGCAATCTAATTTTTATCAAGGACTGTAAGGGAAGGGATTACTATTGTTGCTTACTCCGGCGCTTGAATATCCTAGCCTGTTTACAACTCCAGACTTCTTGCCAGGAGTCGGAAGAGCATCAACGCAGCCCGCTTTACCTGAAAAGTCTAACGATCGTGTGGGTTTGCAGGGTTCAGAGCTCTTGAAAGTTGAAGCAGGGATCCTACAAGGGTGCTACACCGGTTCTACAAGGGGTCTGATATAGGGGCCCTTAATAATTAGAATGGGGTTTTGGGGCCCATTATACTATAATCATAATACGGAACCCCCCCCCAAAAAAAAACTATAGTATAGGTAACCATTAAAGCCCCTACAGTAGGGGGGTTAGCACTTAGCAGTTTCGGGGGTCTCAGAGTTTCGAAGAGTTCAGGTGTGTAGGGCTCACAAGGGTTCAGTTCTTGTCCTGGGGTCGACCAAGCCGTGACCTGAGACTTTAGTGTGTATTGAACCCCTTTTTCGGACAGCTTTAGTGTTTACGGTTTAGGGTTTAGAGTTTAGGGTTTATGTTTAGGGTTTAGTGTTTAGGGTTTAGTGTTTAGGGTTTAGCGTTTAGTGTTTAGGGTTTAGTCTTTAGGAGTTTAGTGAGAGGTTGTTATTTATTTATTCACCTATCAGCTGGCTACATTAACGTCAGGGGTTTCGGGGATTACTGATTGCTCTCTTCAGAAAACGTGCTCAAATGCGGGTGGTGTAGGCTTGGTACACCCGGTAGACCCACAGCTGAAGTCATGTCTGGGTTGTCAAAACTCTAGCTTTGTTGTGACAAATACTTGGCCCAACAGGGGCGCTACACAGTAACTACCTATCTGGCCCTTAAGTCCTAAACCATTGTTAACAAATCCCTAAACCCTATTAAACCCCAAACCTTGAACCCTGAACCTTGAGCCCAAAACCCCTTGAACCCTGTACCTTAAACCCTGAACCCCAAACCTGAAACCCTAAAACCTCAACCTTAAACCCCAAAACATTTTCGCAACAGGCCTCGTTGTCCAGCAGCCCGGTCTAGCCTAAACCTGCACTTTAAACCCCAAACCCCAAGCCTTCAGCCCCAAACCCTTTCTGAAACCCTAGACCCTGAACCCTAAACCCTAAAGCATCCTAAACCCATGGCCCACGGGCTAATATAGGTGCCTTAATAATTAGAATAGGGTCTTGGGCCCATTATACTAGAATTCCAAAATGGAACCCCCAAAATAGTATAGATAACTATTTAGGCCCCTATATTGACCTTTGAAGTAACCAGGGAGAAAGAAGTATAGACTTTTATTTCATCATGGTTCCTTTAAGGTACAGGTCCAAAAAAAAGAATTAAAGCATGGTACTCCAAAGCCCAGTATATGAACCCTGAAGCCCTGCCAGGGGACCCGAAGCCCAAACCCTGAACCCTAAACCCTAAACCATCCTAAACCCATGGCCCATTGGGGGCACCTTGAAGCCCTGTGTGGGGACCCTTTATACTAAAATTTATAACAAGGAACCCCCAAAATAGTATAGGTATTTAGGCCCCGATATTGACACCTAATGTAGGGGCCTTGATAATTACACACTTATCATAAGGAACCCCCAAAAGTAGTATAGGTAATTACTATCCTAAACCATAAGCCCGAAGCCAACCCTAAACCCCTATATTGGCCTTGGAGCCCTGCCTGGGGACCCTAAGCCTAAACCCTAAACCCTAAACCCTAAACCCTAAACCCTAAACCCTAAACCCTAAACCCCTAAACCCTAAACCCGGGGACCCTAAGCCTCTTTTGACCCGGCCTGCGAGTCTCCCAGGCCTTGCTTGGCAGCGGTTCCACCTGCCCAAATCGAAGGTTAGGGTTTAGGGTTTAGGGTTTAGGGTTTAGGGTTTAAGGTTTAGGTATGGGCCCCTAACATGGACCCTTAGGTGATTCTAGGGACCCTTAAGGGTACATATGGGGTATATAATAGGTATATAAGGATCCCAGGCTTAAGGGCCCATACTAGGGGAAGGTGTCTGCTGGAAGAGTTTAGGGCTTAAGGCTTAGGGCTTATAGGGTTTAGGGTTTAGGGCCAGCTGGGATTTAGGGTTTAAGGCTTAGGGCTTAGAGGGTTTAGGGCTTAGGGCCAGATAGGATTTGGGGCTTAGGGTTCAAAAGTGTCTGCTGGAAGTGTTTCGGCGCTCACACTCGGACAATCCAGGCGAGGCATATGGTTCGAGGTCTGCAAAGAAGTGAATCAATGTTTGCATGCGATGAACCGAAAGACATAGAGCCTGGAAGGGTTTACACTCTTACAACTCGGACAAGCCAGGCGAGGATTCATGTTCGACAGGCGGCGTGAAAAGCAGGGGAAGTCAGGATGCCTGGAAGGGTTTAGGGTTTAAGGTTTAGGGGCCAGCTAGGATTTAGGGTTTAGGGTTGAGGGTTTTGTTGGCTTCAGCTGGGACAAGCCCGCATTGCGGGGTTTCGGTTGAGGGTTGAGGGTTCAGGGCCAGTTTAGGATCTAGGGTTTAGGGCCAGTTTAAGATTTCGGGTTTAGGAGACGGGTGGTGAGTAGGTTTCAGGTTCACCGTAGTTTGGGTTTAAGGCAGCCTAAGGCAGAAGCAAAGTACATCAATGCAACCGGCGAAGCCTTGCATCCTGGACTCTAGCCCGGCCATATGGTGGTTTCTGAAAAAGGGGGACCCTAATATAGCACCCTAAAAAGCAGCATCCTTATTTTTGGTAAGGACCCCAGAACAAGGTACCCCTAACTTTCGGAAATTCCCATATTTACCTTCAAGTATCAGGTCGATTCTGAGCAGTCGGAAGCCGAAAGTGAGAGCCCTCCCTCGACCGCACAGCGCTGGGTGGCCCACCTGGGCTTTTGCCCTGGGGCTTCTGACTGTTCACAATGATGGCGTTGGTGGCCTAGCAGAAGACGCGCGGAAGGCTTCAGTGAATTTCGGTGAAGCTACCAAGAGAGTTTTGTTGCCCAGCACTCCGAATCTCCGAGCACGATGTTGGGGTGCTTCATTCCGCCAAGGATAGCGGCTCCCATAAGGGTTCCCTTCAGGGTTTTTGCAAGGGATCCTTTAAAGGGATCTTTAAGGACCTCTCTTTAACGGCTCCTTTACAGAATCCTAAACCCTAAACCCTAAACCCTAAACCCTAAACCCATAAGGGTTCCCAGACGGTTCAGATCACCGTGGGCCCGCGTAGGACTGAGGGATTCTGCGCTGACCTTTTTGCCGAAGTCAGGGTAGTTGGAGGGTTTCGGCTCTAACCCTAAACCCTAAACCCTAAACCCTAAATCCTAAAACCCTAAACCCTAAACCCTAATGGAGGGTTTAGGGTTTAGGGCTTAGGGGCCTTTGTGGCGTTCCTGTACGGCTTTAGCGTGTGCTTGCAGAAGTTTTAACAGGCTGGATACAAGTATTCTCTAGCAAAGCCCACCCTGCGCCCCATGTTCCAAAATCTGTCAAGTTCTTGCTTTATTATGTCCATGTTAGTACACTCTGCAGACTCTACTCTACTCTACTCTACTCTACACTACACTACACTATACTATACTGCTGTACATTGTAGCCTATTATGCTCCTAAACCCTAAACCCTAAACCCTAAACCCTAAACGTTATACTATTCTGGGACATGACACTTTTTCTGTCTATTACGCGGCAAGAAATGCGAAGGGACGCCAGACCAGCTGCAGAGTCCCTCGTTCTTTACCCTAAGGCTCTTATTGCTGGGGTTTAGGGTTTAGGGTTTAGGGTTTAGGGTTTAGGGGTTTAGGGTTTAGGGTTTTAGGGTTTAGGGTTTAGGGTTTAGGGTTTAGGGCTTTGGGGGCTACGGTTTGGGCTTTCACTATGGGGGTCCATGAGCCTCAGGGTAGACCGTTGGGGGTCCTGAGAAGTGACCGGATCCTTAGATTCTTAGATGAAGATTGGTATAAGAGCCCTGTAAGGATGCAAGCATGTAGAAACAGAACCTTATAAGAACCGATGCAAGCATGTAGAAAAGAACCTTATAAGAACCGGTTTTTTGGTGTTGAGGGTTCTTGAAGTTTCTGGCCTCTGCTTCGGTCGACAAGGGTCCAGAGGGCTTCGTGGTTGAAGATCTACGGTCAAGGTTTAGGGTTTAGGGTTTAGGGTTTAGGGTTTTGGGTTTAGGGTTTAGGGTTGAATCTTTAGAAGTTTAGGGCTCAGGGCTTGGAGGTTTACGGTTGAGGGTTGAAGGTTGCCAAGCCCTACATAACTCGAAACCCCCAAACCCTAAACCCTAAACCCTTTACCGTATGGGCTCAGGACTCGGACTGCGCGGTGAGGTGGAAGGCAACTCTTCCGGGGCCTTCGGCTGACCCTTTGCATCCAAGATCAAGCCGAACTCCACTGCATCCGCAACGACGGGCACCTGGGTCTTGCGCTGCGGGTCGAGTTTAAGTAATATTCAGAGGACCTTCGTCTTGTTACTAGTGTGATTTAAGGAATTGTGGGGTGTATTCCCTGGTTCAGAAAAGAACTTGTTACGGAACACGTAGACGATAAAGGGAGTCAGTACGAACGGTTCAAAGAGCAATATTCAAGCCCTCTTTTTGCACAGGCTTGGTTGGAGCTCACCCGGCTAGGTTCGCCGCAGCACAACGCACCATTCAAGGCCTAAACCCTCAAAGCCCAGAGCTCGCTCGCCGAGGTACTGAGTTCAAGTCATTTCGGTGGAGGAAGACGTCACGAGGACCCATTTTCTCGGTCACCGTGTCACAGGACCTGAAGGGAACAAGAAGATATCCTTCTTGCGGGGTTCCTTAAAGAATACCAGGACAACCAAGCCAGACAAAGGCAAAAGGCTTCCTTGCATTGACCAAGGGACAGCCATCCGAAGCTTCCTCTCCAGAATTTCACCGTGCCACAGAACCGCTGTCCTTCCATCCAGCTCTTATCTTGGGCCATGGCCTCCCCCGACATTTTAAAGCCCTTTTTTGCGCAGGCTTCTCAAGCCCGGAACAAAGGCCAAACCCTAAATCCCCTGCTTCAGTATAGGTGCTCTCACTCCTACCCACCATCCAACCCATGTGTCCGAAGGTCGGCCGTGGTGCAAATCTATCGGGGTAAATGTTGTCAGGCTTAAAGGGTGAGGGTTTAGGGTTTAGGGTTTAGGGTTTCGGGTTTAGGTATCGTCCAGGGTCAGCCATACTGGGCGGGTCTCTGGGTCTTGTGTGTCATTGTGCTTTGGGCGTTAAAGCGCTACCCGCTGGTGCTAATGATATGGTACCATATGAGACTATGGTAAGTTTTAATGAGGTTCTATTCATTTATCACCCAAAGGTCGTCGTCCAACCAAATCTAGCTGGCATCTGAAGCCATTGAAACGGCTGCAGCCAGGCAAGAGGATCAAAGGAGCGCTTGAGAAGCATGCAATCGGTGCCAGATCGACGCCGAGGTCTAAATCTAGCCCGCTGAATAGATCCAACATGGCTTCGGAAGCATGTTGTGGCATAGCAGCTATAGGCTATAACTCTAAGCAATAACATCAGCTAGTACTTACTCATGCTTAGGAATGATGCATGCGCCTGCCTGAAATGCTATAGGGACCCCCAAACTTAAAGCCTCTTGGCGACCCCTCGCAGAATCGAGACATCCCTCAAAGTGTCGCCAGAAGGGCCCTTGTTGAGGCTCGACGGACTGTGTAGGCAGATCAGAAATCATTCGGCGGGGTTATATTTTGGATAGCCCCTACTTAAAGGATCATGGGACTTAGTAAGTAGGGATATAACTGAGGTAGCTATACTTATAACCCCAATTAAAGGACTTACAACCTTACTTACGAAGTCCCATGATCCTTTAAGTATGACGGTATTCGGCTGGGTTAAACCCTAAACCCTAAACCCAAACCCTAAACCCTGAACCCTAAACCCTAAAGCGTTAAATTTGGATAGCCCCTATGACGGCACCCAGAACTTCGAGCCAGAAGCTGAACTGACTTTCTTATTTTCATTCAATTTTAGACCTTTGGGACTATATGGGAGTTTCCGAAAATACGGTTACTCTTATTTTGGGGTCCTTATAATACGGATCCTATTATTTAGGGTACTATCTTAGGGTCCCCTATTTTTTGAAACCCCCATATAGGGTATACCACTCCAATACTTACGCGACTGTGCGGCTCAGCTGATCTTGGTGCACGGATCACGACCTGCCCTTACTTTGCTCACGCTTAGAACGCAGGAGGAAGCGGTTCTGAAAGCAGTTGGGGCTAAATGGCGGCATCTCAGCTTCATAAAATCTAAGGTAGAACCCATGGGCCCCTAGTATGGGCCCTTAACCCTGGGACCCTAATATACTTACTATATACCCTATATATACCCTTAAGGGACCCTAGAATCCCCTAAGGGCCCATGTTAGGGTCCCATGGGTTCAACCTTAGAATCTCAGCTTCATAGAAGCTTAGTTCATCTGCAACCGAGCCCGACCCACGAGCCGTAAATACTCTGGGTTCTTGTTAAGGAATTTAATTTAAGTTACCATAATAGGGATCTATAATAAATAATACGGTTTCCTTATTGTCGCAACTTAAATTAAATCCCTTAACAAGAACCCAGTACTGTTTATAGAAACGCTTTAGGATGTACACTCTGACATCTCGGACAATCCAGGCGAGGTCTCTGCGTAGTCGGGGTGAAAAGACGTCGTTCCCCCTGTCACGCTTCAGGGTGTAGGGTTTAGTGAGTGCTGCCATCAGCGTCCCTTGATAAGTGTTTTGTCCATCTCGCCGGCTCATCCTGCTCACTCCGTCTATGGTTTAGGGGAATCCACAAGGGGGAACCAATATATGAGAGTTCCTAATATAGCAGATTCAGAACATTGGGATGGGGGCCACAATTTGTGGCTGTGTCAAAGCGCCCCTATCTAGCTACCCCCCTGCGGATTCCCCAAAAAGGGGTTCGTTTCAAGGCCCTCGGGTCGGAGACCTACCGTGCTTGGATTTTAGGTTTGTAGTCTAAGGTTTAGGGTTTAGGGATTAGGGTTTAGGGTTTAGGGTTTAGGTCAGCCCTCAACTCCCTAAAAACCCGACAGTTCCTTCCCCTTCGCCACTAAACCACCTATTCCCTATGATCATGCAAGCAACCAACGAAGAGCTAGCCACTTTGGGGAACGTGCCAAAGGCTCAGGACTCAGAGCTTTGCAAGCAGGGATTAGGGTTTAGGGCGTAGAGTAGTCTCAACTGGCGCACATGCAAAAAGGGCCCCGAGCCAAAGAGGACCGAATTGATACCCCTTGAGTCTGGCACTTGGCCCCATGCCTGCTTTTTGAACTCCTCCTACACAGATTTAGACAATACTCCTGCTTCCCCGCTCTTGGCACCTGATTCTGAAAGGACTAGCGACTTCACCAAACCTATCTGGGAGTTTCTGGGGTTGCCATGTGCCATATTAACAGCGCGTGCTGGGGAAGCAAAAGCAATAAAAAAAAAAAGATGGGGTCGTATCATTCTCGCAGCTTCGGCATGGGACGAGTGTAGGTTCCATCACCTGGTGCATAATCAGAACGCGAGCCGTCAGCTGGTGCTCCGTTCGTTTGTGTCTAGGGTTTAGGGTTTATAGGGTTTAGGATTTAGGGTTTAGGGTTTATAGGGTTTTTAGGGTTTAGGGTTTATAGGGTTTAGGATTTAGGGTTTAGGGTTTATAGGGTTTAGGATTTATATTGGGTTTGGTTTAGGGTTTATAGGGTTTAGGATTTAGGATTTATATTGGGTTTAGGGTTTAGGATCTGATATCAGCTAACGTGTCCATGGTGTCCTAGTCAGGGCCTTTTGGAGGCGCCGAGCTCATGGCTTTCGGCCAGGAGACCTTCTCTGCTACCAGCGGTACAGTAGGGTTTCGGGTTTAGGGCTTAGGGTTTAGGGATTAGGGTAAGGGTGGGGGACGAATGTCGACCAAAATTCGGACTTTCAAGCCTTGACTCGACACACTCGCAGGGGAATCATGGGCTCCAGGGGCCCTTGACTAACAGAGGGGCCTCAATGATAGGAGTAAGGTTTTGGGGTATGCAAAAACACATCCATTGCACAAGCCTATGGCTCGCATAAGTAAAGATGTATAACTTGGGCTGGAAAACAAAAGTTCGGGTCCTAAACCGAAACACCCCCTCATTTTCTAAGCCAGAACACCCCCAATAACCCCCTATATAATACCGCGAAACCATAAGTGTGCAGATAATGCTCCCACCTAAATAAAGCCCTGCCCTAACGCCTGCGACGCTGAAGCTTTCAACTCCCAAAAGCCACTGGGTTTAGGGTTTAAGGTTTAGGCTTTAGGGTTCGACTCCTGGTATCATGCCTCAGGGCCTCATGGACATAGATGGGGGATAAAGGCAAACTACCAACAATGGAGGCTTCGAGATAGTCTGATTCGGGGGTAGAGTTGTTAAGACCCGGGTTGCATGCGCGGCCGCGATGTGGTTTTTCTGCAAGAGAGGGGTTTCGGGGTTTAGGGTTTAGGGTTTATGTCCAAATCTTCCCCACTGTAAGGAGCCCTAACAGCTTAAACGGCAAGAATGTCTATGAAATGATTGAAAGCCAAGAAAAGACCCTGTTTGTCACAGCACCCTGGATCCAGGCACGCGTTCTGCGTTTGCTAGTCGAACAGCTGAAATGGCGAATTGCGCTGGCGGCGCTCCATCTGTTAGGGGGTTGGGGCGGGTTCAGAGTGCAAATGCAAACACTGCCTGCGCATTTGGAAAACGGCCTGTGCAACAGTATGGCAGGAGTACTGCACGGGATTTAGGTTTGTTAGAAGGCCTTGATAATTAGAACAGGGTTTTGGAGAACACACATACGCCGAAACTGTGATCTAATCATTAAGTTCCAAACCCTTTTTACCCTAAATCCTAAGACGCTATGTTCGAATCATTATAAGGTCCAAACCGTGAAGCTCGTACCCGAGACCTCAAACCTCTACAACCCTAACCCTTAGACCTTGAACCCCATGCCTTTACTGCAGGGGCCTTAACAAAAACCAATACTATTATTTAGGTGGTTCCTACTTGTAGCATAATGGGGCCCCCAGCCCTATTCTAATTATTAAGGCCCCCAGAACCCTTATAGTAACCCTTGTAGTATGCTTCTTCAGGAACCCTCTTCTAACTATTCAGGCCCCTACATTGCCCTCTGTTCAAGGACCGGTCTTCAAAATGGGACCAGTTCAGGGCTTTCAGGGTCTTCGGAATGTCGGGGTTTAGGGTTTGGGTCCAGGGTCTTTAGAAGATAGAGGTTTAGTTTAGGGTTTGGGTCAGGGGAAACCCTAAACCCTAAACCCTAAACCCTAAACCCTAAACTTTAGAGGTTTAGCTTAGGGTTTGGGTTCAGGGGCTTCAGAGTTGAGGGGTTTTGGGGTTCATTTTGGGTTTTCGACTCGCACACTCGCTCACGCATGCACGGCTTCAAGACGTAAGAATTTGGGGATTTAGGGTTTAGGGTTTAGGGTTTAGGTTTGAGGGATTCTTGGCTGGCGTGGTATCGTCTCAGGGCTCTAGGTCTAAGTTTGAGGAACGTTAAGATCTTTCGTTGTCTGCATGCAGGTATCAGCAGAGAACTCAGCACGCCAGCGCTGAATTCGCAACTCTTTCGCTGGAGGTATTCACAGTGGCTGCCCTCGCTGGCAAGACCTGGGTAACTTGACATTTGGACTATCGTTTCCACCACCCTTTGCAACGGCCTTCTCAGATCTCGACCGGACCCACCCTAGACCCTGAACCCAAACCCCAACCTACAGTCTGAACTAAACCCTGTTTAAACCCTGAACCTAAACCCGAAACACCAAAGTCTAAACTAAACCCTGAAGAATAGCTATGAACGAACAGATACGTCCGTGGAACTTGACAAGCATCCCCAGGTTTAAGTGCGCATAGTTGGAGGAAACTACAGGTGGGGAGTTTACGGTATATAGGGCTTCTATAAGAGAGAGAGG